ATTGCTAAGCAAACCGAGTGCAGGATCCTTCTAGATTTTTAACATATGATTTCCTTCTTTGATAGTTATCTCTCCCACATCTAAAATTGGAAAAAATATATATATTGTGGTAAAATATACATAACATAAAATTTACCTTAACCATTTTTTTAAAGTATACTATTCAGAGGCATCAAGTAAATTTACAATGTTGTACAACCACCACTGCTATCCATTTCCAGAAATTTTTCATTATCCTAAATGGAAACTCTGTGCCCATAAAAAATAACTCCCCATTCCCACTACCCCCAGCGCCTGGTAACCTCTAATTCTACTTTATACCTTCATGAACTTGCCTGTTCTAGTTATCTCATATAAGTGAAATCGTATAATATTTGTCCTTTTGTGTCTGGCTTATTTTACTTGGCATAAAGTTTTCAAGATTCATCCATGCTGTAATATGTCAGCATTTCATTACTTTTCATGGCTGAATAATATTCTATTGTATGTATATACTCCATTTTGTTTATCCATATATCTGTTGATGGACACTTGGGTTGTTTTCATCATTCAACTATTGTGATTAATGCTGCTATGAACACTGGTGTACAAGTATCTGTTTGAGTCCCTATTTTCAATTCTTTTGGACATATACCTAGCAGTAGAATTGCTAGATCATATGGTAATTTCGTGTTTACCTTTTTTGAGGACCCACCAAACTGTTTTTCAAAAAAAAAATTTTTTTAAACAACTTGTCTTTATGAAGACTTTCTAAGGCATTCAGCTTGGTTCTCACAGAAGCAACAGCTCTCTTTACGTTTGGTCCTGTATTTCATCAGTTTCTAGACCATCTAATTACTTGTATAATTACAATATCATGGATTCCCTGGTGGTCCAGTGGTTAAGACTCCACACTTCCAATGCGGGGGGCGTGGGTTCGATCCCTCGTCGGGGAACTAAGATCCCGCATGCTGCGTGGTCAAAAAAATACAATATCAAGTCCAACTATCATAAACAGGTTTAGAAACATACACAGTTGATACTTGCTAAGCATGCAACTCAACTGCTAAGACCAGAAGTCCTTGGAACATACTAGAGAGTAGCTTTCTGGCAATAAGCCCCAGGGTGCTCTGGGAATCAGCCAATACCTATTACAGAACAAATGGAGAATATTGGTTAATCTGTCCAGTCAAATGGAGGCCAGTTAAGAGAGCTTTTACCATTCAATTGAATTACCTTTGTCATGATAAGATATATAAAGGAATTTAGAAATGACTGTGGCTCTAGGAAAAAAAAAAAAAAACAGCTGCACATCCAGGACTGTTAACATTCAATACACTTGTTGTTGGGAGACTGGAAAAAGGCACACAACAAAGGCTAAAACAGAATGGGAAGTTGACCAAGGTGGTCATTTTTGTATCAACTCTTGAATTTAAGAAAGTTCTAATCGATAAGAGCCGTAGGTTAATTTCCTTCCCTTACAGCTTCACTTAGTGTGGGTGATAAATGGAAGATAAACAAAGAATAGGGAGATCGTGCCTATTCTTAGAAAGAAAATACCTTTCAGGTTAAGATTCAAGACTTGAGGATATGGGGAGGGGGAAGGGTAAGCTGTGACAAAGTGAGAGAGTGGCATGGACATATATACACTACCAAACATGAAATAGATAGCTAGTGGGAAGCAGCCGCATAGCACAGGGAGATCAGCTCGGTGGTTTGTGACCACCTGGAGGGGCGGGATAGGGAGGGTGGGAGGGAGGGAGACGCAAGAAGGAAGAGATTTGGGAACATATGTATATGTATAGCTGATTCACTTTGTTATAAAGCGGAAACGAACACACCATTGTAAAGCAATTATACTCCAATAAACATGTTTAAAAAAAAAAAAGGACTTTGGGATGTGATTAGAAGGTTTTCTAGCCAGTTCTGAAATGAAGTCACCAAGCTGTAGGAGTACTTTTATACAGCATCATCCATCCTTGTTGGCGACCCAAATGATTAAAGGTTTGGGAAATTGCCCCTCTAAATATGGGCTAAAGGAACTGGGTTTATTTAGCTTAGAGAGAGAGACTGAGCATGCTGAGGGGGACTTAATAATAGTCTCCAAGAATATGAGGGATATTCTATGAGTGATGGAAAGCAGCTGTTTCCTGCTTCCATCGAGGGCTGGATAAGAAAGAATAGAGTTAAATTGCAACAAGTGGGTTTAAAAACTACTTGGCCATAAAGTTCAAGACAACAAACCCACAAGACCAAAGTCACTCCTCTGTTTCAGAATTATGTAGCTCACTTCTTTGGGTGGTTTCAACTGGCCTGTTCTTGAACTAGTAGAAAGATATGGAGGACCATTCACCTGTGTGAGAGTATGAAGTTGTCCAGTGTCAGAACCTACCAGTGTTCTGTGGCTGAGGAAGCACTTATCTTCTAAGGAGATTTTAAAAGAAAAGAAATTCAGAATCTCTTTGCTCCCCCTTCATCTGCTTTTAAAGCCAGATAATCTAGATTTATTTCTTTTGTATGAGATGAAAAATTTCCATAGATTTGCCAGTGTGTGTTTTTTTTCTGCCCACTTGGTCAATGTGGTCACGACTTTAAAAATCAAGTTCTGTGTTTTTAGTGAGATTGTGTATACACACACATGTGTATACATACATGTATATAGGCATGTGTGTATATATGGTGTCTTAAGATATGAGATATATACGCATATATCTCATAGATATTGTAGATATTTGACATATGATATAGATATATATTTATCATATGTAATTAATGCAACAATGAAAGCAATGTTTCATTCTAGACAGTGTGTCTGTGTGTGTTAGGGATATGAAGATGGATAAGATATACACCATGCTAATTAGGAACAAAGCAAATAAATACACAAAGCATTACGAAATAATGCATCATTATAGAAAGTCAGGTAGGGGAAGAAATTTAAGGACAGAAAAGTGAGTTTGGGGGATGTAACTAGTCTTTAGTCAACGAGGCAGATGGAAATGCCTGAAACTACTTCTCAACTATTGTTTCACCATTGTTATCCTGTGTTAGGTGAATTTTACTGTTTATTCTGAATTGGATAAAGGGGTGTCTTATTTGCCCAACTAGGAGTGTTTTCAAGGCAAGGGTTTCCATTTCCAGAGAATTGACTGCTGTTAGGTTATATCTGGAAAATTATAGGTTTTTATCAGCATTAACTGTGTATGTGTTCCACGTGGGATATTTTCATCTTGTACCAACATTTACTATAAGCTTATTAGAAATGTTTGCCTCTGTCGTTGAGTGTTCTCTGGCATCTGGGAAGGGGTGGGATGGACCATAATCCAGCCCTGACTCCCACAACTCTTTTGGTCTTCAGAAATCCAGCACTGAAGGAGGAGAAATGACCTGGGGTTGCTTTAAATCACTCATTCACTGTGAAGCTTTGGGCAAGTTACTTAACCTCTCTGAGTCTCACTTTCCTTCATCTACCTGACGAGAATGTTTTCAGGACTAAATTAAATGCAATAGTATGCTCCAAGCTCAGAGCTCATGTGCCCAGCCCTTAAGTCATTGATTCACAAAGGGCATCTCTTGCCTATGGTAGCATCATGATTGCCTCTAGATTCTCTTCCCCCGTGGGCTTTGCTGGACCTTAGGGGCAGGTTTGTAGGGTAGGGTTGGTTTAAAATTCATGAGGGCACCCGAAGTCCAATTGTATGATTTTTTTCCGCCTTTTCTATACTTACTCAATCCAGAAAAAAAAAAAGTCCACTATAATGCCAGATGTTCCAGGAAGCGTTTGTTGTCAAACTACTTGAAACAAATGATGTGCACACATGGAAGGAAAGTGCGTTGTAAAACCAGCAGGAAGATTATGCTTTTTTTTTTTTTTTTACAAGGTTTAAAGGAGAATAAATCAGTCTTCTAGATATGCAGGTAGTCATTTAATAGACTGATTAAATCGAGTGCTGTGCTTTGAAATGATATCAAATTGAAGACATGATCCTTGCCCTGGGAGGGTTTATGAACTTGTTGGGGAGACCAAACGTGTATGTATGAAATGACCACAGAACAGTTAGACTCAATCTCAGGAAAGGAAGTATAAAACAACAGGGCTTGAGCCCATAAGTACTGAGGAAAGGCAGGATACAGGTTTGGGTAGGGATTTAATACAGTTCTTGGAGACTTAGGGTCGTGGTTTGACGGGTTCATAAAACAGTATCGTTTATAGACAGACAGAATTAAAAAAAAAAAAAAAAGACAACCTAAAATGTTCACTTCCTATAGAAACCTAAGAACATACTGCAGTTACTCTTAACTTATTTGAAATAAATGCATCCTTCTAAATTCTCAGCGTTCAGGCTGATTTCCTTTCAAACTCTCCCTCCACACTGTGCCAGACGGCTCCTGCCCAAATTTGTTCTTCGTCTGCGGGATATGGAATATCTTTATAAATCATAACAAGTCACAGGGAGGGTAAAAATCCCAGCTCGAGACCTACCTCAAAAGCTGAGGCGTGCCACATATTTTAATGGCGGTGGATCTAGGAACCAAGGGTAGGACCTTTCTCTCTCTATTAGAAGATTTATAATTCAGAGCCTTCTGAGGGTGAGCCTGGATCCTCTGACCTGGACCCATCCTCCAGCCCGTCCCCACATCCCAGCTCCCCAAATGAAATAAGCAGGGAAGCAGGACAACAAAACCATTAACTTAATAGCGTAGAATTTATGGCTGAAATCTTGCAAAGCTTATGTCAGCAGAGGAAAATAATTACTGTCACTTTCTTTGAGACACTTGGCTTTATGGTTCCTGTCACCTTTATCCTAACACACAGCTGATTTAGTAGCTCTGTTTTTCATGGCAAATGGCCTGGTGTTATGTTTTTATGCATGTGGACATGCTAGTGAGAGGACAATACATGGATAGACTGGGGTGGGGCTAAATTTAGATAATGAACTGGAATACTGTTAATGGTTTGGGTTTAGTCATGCTGTCAGTATGCCAGCTGAGCTTTTTTCACTTGCCCTTTCCTCCTCTAGATCCTCAAATCCAAAGATTTAACATCTCCAACCCAGCGCTACATCGACAGCAAAGTCGTGAAAACCAGAGCAGAAGGCGAATGGCTCTCCTTCGATGTCACTGATGCTGTTCACGAATGGCTCCACCATAAAGGTGACCCCCGCCCTCTGCTCTCCCCCTTCGATGTTCAGTGACCCTAAGTTATTGCAAGTCGATTACAGATTGAGGGGTATTAGATGCACAGACAAATGACCTCCTTGACTTAATGTTTTCCAGACAGGAATCTGGGATTTAAAATAAGTTTACACTGTCCCTGCTGCACCTTTGTACCATCGAATAATTACATCATCCCCAACAAAAGTGAAGAACTAGAAGCTCGATTTGCAGGTAACTGAAACTGGGGCCTATGAGGTGGGGGAGGGAAGGGCCTCTGTTGATAATCTCCTGGGGGGATGAGGTCAGTTTGCATGTGAAAATGAGATTGCTGGGTGAGGCCCGGGGAGTTTCATTTGTTTGGGCAAAGCTATGGTTGGGGAAAGATATATGAAGGCAGAAAGGGTTGGAAGAAAGGGATTCCTTCCCAGTTTACACTGCTCGATGCCCCGTGATGACTTGGCAGTACTAACTGACAGACTTACCAACCTTCCAGACTCTTAAATAGCGTGTTCAGCCCTTTATTCTTCACTTGAGCAAACCAATATTCCATCTATGCCAATATTATAGAATAAGATCACATGCATTCAAGGACATCCACTGATTATCCCCCCCAAACCCAACGTCGTCGGGAAGCCACCACTGTTACCTCACAGAGGACGTCCTCTCCCACCACAGCCTCTGTAACTAACCTGACCTGTACCAGAACACACCCCCCTTTCTAGCTGGTGCCCAACATTCCAAGTGGCTTCCTTATCAGACTTTCATAATAGTTTATAAACACATAACAAGGTTTTAGTTGCCCCCCCCGTCTTGCTTACCTTTTAGTGAATTAGCCAAAAGTCAAAGAGAATGAGGAGATGCCAAGGGTTCAAGTCATGTCTTAAACGTTAGATAACAAGTCGTTGGAGGACGAGGGGTGAGGGGGGAGTCTGGACCAATTGGGGTTTCAGCACTGGCTCCACACCACCAGGTGAGGGAGCTGATGGCCCTTCCCTAAGTCACCCCACCTGGGACCTCCATCCATTGGCAGAAGGCTCCAGTGGACCTTGCTCATGGAAAAATAATCCGAGCGGTCTAGAGATTTATTTCAGTCTCTAACCTAGTCATGATTCTCTAGAGTATGGAGATTAAATGCTTAAGCTGGCAGTCTCCTGAGTGTGCTTTGGGGAGCTCGAATTTCTCCATCTCAGATGGAATCAGGAAGGTGTTGAGGATATCATAAAATCAATGAAAAAAAACCCTTTCTTCACAGCTTCCCAAAATAGCATTAGGTAAGGGTGGATGACTTCTGTTTCACTGGAACCTCATTCACTGCAATTTAGTGTAAGTCTCAGTTTAGGTTCATCAGGGAAGTCTTTTGACTTGAGCAGTCCTAGGAAGAGAGGGGACCAGCGGGTGACACGTCCTATGGCCGTGTCATCAGTCGTGGAGGCGTTGAGCACAGCCTACACTGAGGACTTTCGAGATTGCCCTTGGACTTGTGGTCAAAGACTTCTTCTGTAGTGACTTTCATAACCAACAGGCCCTGCCTTGGACACTGAACTGCCTTCTGACAAGAGCCCCATTTAGCCGTGTTCCTTGTCACCTGCACTAGTCCTATCCATTGCCGTGGGGAGTGAGCCAGCTGCTGCTGCTGTGTGGTCATCACTGCTATTTGTGACGATAGACAAAGAAAAAAAAAAAAAGATATGGCTGATTCTATTTGATGAAGGTGAAGCTAAATGTTTATTACCCGAATGCATTTTTTCAAGGTATTGATGGCACCTCCACATATACCAGTGGTGATCAGAAAACAATAAAGTCCACTAGGAAAAAAAACAGTGGGAAGACCCCACATCTCCTGCTAATGTTGTTACCCTCCTACAGACTTGAGTCACAACAGTCCAACCGGCGTAAGAAGCGTGCTTTGGATGCAGCCTATTGCTTTAGGTAAAGGAAATAAAAAGAAAACAAAAAGTAACTGTGTTTGTTTAACTTTTGTACTGCTTTTGCCCCCCCCTTTTTATTTTTTTTAACTAAAAATGGACTTGAACTGCAACTCATTGCATAAAACCAGAACTAGAAAAGTAGAGCCATCGTATTTCGTAACATCATCCTTTCCGGAGGTTTAAACAGTTATTTCTATGCTGTATTCATCAGTTCTTTAACAATGAATCTACTGTGAAGGGAGAAAACTAGCCCCCTGAACTTTTCCCCCAAATTCCTCCGAAGCACTTTGAGGCTGAAGGAGAAAAGGAGCTGTTTGCTCCCCAGAGCAAAGTTAGGTTTATTTGAGGTGCAGGATGGTGGGTCCCTAACTGGGGAGACTCACCACCTGTAGAAGCCTTCACTCTCCCTGCAAGGTACCCACGGTCAAACCTTCACAGTAGCAGTGATGAGAGAGACAGAAGGATGCTATTTGTCGTGTCTTTTGCTAGAGAACATGAGAAGGGAGGGTAACATAAATTTATCTCCCATTTCCACATGAATTCATGGTGGGAAAGTGTGAATGTTCTTCTGTATTTTTTTCTTTTCCTTTTTCCTTTTGGCCGTGCCACTGGTGCAGCTTGCGGGGGCCTTAGTGGCTTGCGGGGATCTTAGTTTCCTGAGCAGGGATTGAACTCGTGCCCCCTGCATTGGGAGTGCAGAGTCCTAACCACTGGACCACCAGGGAGTTCCCCTTTTCTGTGGTTTCTTAGCAAGCGTGGTAGGAGCTGTGGGGTGGTGAGGGGTCCTCACTGATAAAGTGCTCAAAGTGTGTGAGTTCACAAGAAAAAAGGGTGTTTTTTGGTCGCCAGAGCCAGTGGTTGCTCTAAGCAAGACTCTGTGTTTCTTATCTCTGGTTCATTCCTAGATCCAGGAACAGGAAATGAAATAAAGGATTTCTTCTCAAAGGAAAATGCCTTAGATTGTTCTCTGTAAATACCTATTTTACTTCATCCATTTTGCATTTGAAAAGGCAATAGAGGATGGATGGCAAAACTGTGCACTGTAGGTTGGGACGGGCTTGGTCTCCGTCTGCCACGTCTTTGCTTACATCTCATCATTTAAGGGAAGGCTTTGATTTTTGAGGTCACAGATAAGCGGGTCGGGGCATAGAACTCGCAAGGGAGTCCAGCGAATCACCATCACACCTCATCATGACAGTCTCTTGAGATTGCAGTTCAGCCATTAAAACCTGGCCCGTGGTATTTGCTCATACATATCTGTTGAATAAATGAACGAGTCATTTTCCTGGTTTGGGATGAGGGGCGGGGGGATTGGGGTGAAATCAGCTTCAGAATCTCCATTGCTCTTTCTTTTATCAGAAATGTGCAGGATAATTGTTGCCTACGCCCACTTTACATTGATTTCAAGAGGGATCTTGGGTGGAAATGGATACATGAGCCTAAAGGGTACAATGCCAACTTCTGTGCTGGAGCGTGCCCGTATCTGTGGAGCTCAGACACTCAGCACAGTAGGGTAAGTACGGGCCTCACTTGTCTCTTCTATTCTTGGGCTGCTAATATGTACCCGCTGAGAGTATTTCCACATGAATTCTAAATAGCCTGGTGCCCTTTTGTCATCACACGGAGACATCGTTTTGAATGATGAGAAAAACATGTAAGCTGTAGGTGAACTCAGAAAGTAACACTGATGAGTTTGGACAGTAGGTCTGGCCTTCCCAATTAGATTACAAGCAACTTGAGGACAGTTTAATTTTTTCTTTGTTTTATATGCTTAACAGCTGTAAGCATAAATAGGTAGGATCAGTATATCACTTAGTGTCATGTGCTGTTAAGATGTGCAGGGACCCAGGTCTCCAGCTAAAATAAGGATCCGTTATCGAGGACTTCAGTAGATGCTCTGGCAGAGTGATTCACTAGTGTATGACAGTTATAAAATCATTTAACTTCTCTGAGCCTCAGTTTTCTTGTCAGTAAAAAGGAATGTCTGTATTAAAAATGATTTTTGAAATAATAATGTCCAACTCGAGAGTGGATGTCAAGAACATAAAGATGATATATGTAGCAGTGATTTGAAAAATCAGTATCTCCCAGTCTTTTCGAATATAACCCAAAGTAAATGAGAATCTGAATATTTTATCAAGTTACTTCAATGAGGAATGAAGGCTAATTCAGAAGGCATGTCCTAGATTGGATGCCATGGGTTCCCAGCCCAGATTCGCAAAGACTTTTTCTATGTAATAATGATATTTGTCCAAACTTTTCTTCCTGGTCCCTAGTCACGTAGGATTTTTAGAGATGGAAAGGACCTCACAAGTTATCTTGTCCCATCCTGTAGTACTATATATAAAATAAATAAACAACAAGGACCTACTGTATAGCACAGAGAACTATACTCAATATTTTGTAACAATGTATAAGGGAACAGAATCTGAAAAAGAATACACACACACACACACACACACACACACACACACATAACTGAATCACCTTGCTGTACACCTGAAACTAATGCAACATTGTATAAATCAACCATACTTCCATAAAAATATAGAATAAAATGAAATAAGAATAAAATAAAATACAAAAAAATAATAGGCTCTCTTGTTCAAACCTTTCATTTTTTTAAAGAAATTGAAGCCTAGATCAAGTAGATGACTTGCCCAGGAGCAAACAGTTGGTGACAAACCAGAGCTTGGAACGCAGGCCTCCTTGTTTTATAACCAGGCCTTCGTTCGCTGCGTCTTAGGGTTTAATTCCTGAAATGTGGCTACACACTGGGGTTATGCCTCTGTAAATCTCCTTATTAAAGAAACAGTAGAAAAATTGCCTTCTCTGCAGGATAGGAAAATGAATCTCCTGCCAAAAAGGTCACATAATGCGTTCAGCTGAACTCAAGAGTTTGGGGGATATCAATGATTTTAGATAATCTGTATTATAAAATTCCTCTTGAATTCAGCTGAAAGAATCTTGTGTCGGTGGAGCATGAAGTCTATTTATTGATAAACGCTTACATATGCTAAACTTTCAATTGACAACTACGGCTCCCTTTCCTTCAGCTGTTTTCCTGACACCCCTGGAGATTTTGGCTCTCTGGGCTGACCACATGCTTGGCCACGTGAGGGAAGCTCGCTCATGCCTGTCGCTTGGTCTGAGCTCTCTGGCCAGGCTGCTTCAGCTGGGCTGTGGCAACAGTAGCTGTAATGTGGGCAAGACCCAGTTGCCAAGTAGAAACATAATTCTCCTCTCTGATACACAGAGGGAGTGTGTGAAGGCTGAGACTATGCTTCTTTTTCAAGGAGAGAGGAAGAATCACTGTCATGATCACAAATATGTGGTTTGGACAGTTACCCAAAAAGCCAGAGGTAGCTTAATAAAGTAGTCAGTGTTGCTGTGCTGAACAGATCTTCTGTCTTAGGCTGAAAACATTGCAGTGAATCTCGAGGAAAAGGTCACTCGCTGTTTAACACATTAATGGCATCCTTGGAAATGTCTCTTTATCATCACTGGGGAAGCTCCATACTTCCGTTGGTAGAAGTCACATACCCCTTTGATATAGGATGGGGTTAAAGGTATAGCACTAAGCATAGAACTTTCTTTTCATTCTAAGACTGACTATTCCCTCCTCCAACTTAGCCACTACCATTTACCACATGGAAAGCTAAATGGAGGGTTGATTATTATTATTATTTTAAGAAAAATGTAACAAAGTGAATAATTAAGAATATAGATTACTTCTGAGGTCGTTCTTAGCGTGATTGTATTTACGAAGCAATGAAAAATGAAAAGACTTTGATCTTTTTTTATTTTAAATGAAAATTTAGGTGACATTAAATTGGCCTGAGAAGACACTTAGCCTAGGAAGATTTCACACTGCAGACAGGTGTCTTTTGCTCTACCTAAGGGTAGATTAAAGATCTGATGAGACTTTTAATAAAAAAATGTTATTCTCCTGTTTATCCATGTATTCATTTCTTCACCTAGCATGTGAGTCTTGTTTTGATTTTGTCCAGAGAAGACTCACTAGGGCTATAAGGTTAAAAAAAAGGGGTGCGTAGAGTCCCTGACCTCAAGTGAACTCTTCATCTAGGTGGGGATTGAAACTACTCACGAAACAACTTCAGTTACAGAAAAGTGTAGACACAAGGCGAAATACCAAGTTTGGTATTTGGGCCAAGTTTTCTGAGGGCCTGGGAGGTATGGGCAGCAAAGTAGTGATCAAAGTAAAGACTCCTTGGAAAAACTGGAAAATCTGTTGAATGAGCAATTTTGTCTAACCTGACTTTTACAAAAGTATTTGTTTACAATGTATGAGAAAAGGATTCTGTAGGAAAACGGTGAATTCAGGGATTCCTCAGGACGCCTACCCATTTGACTATAATTGGAGGATAAGTAAAGGAAAGTGTAAGCCCCAAATAATCTAAATTGCCTACTCAGTGCTGTGACTGATAAGATAACCATGTGCGATGGTTCTATTAAAAAATAATTGCCTGTTTTTTTTGGGTCGTTTCCTATGTTTTCTTTCTTCTCCTGTGTCCTTTCAGGTTCTCAGCTTATATAATACCATAAATCCAGAAGCATCTGCTTCCCCTTGCTGCGTGTCCCAGGATTTAGAACCGCTCACCATTCTCTACTACATCGGCAAAACACCCAAGATTGAACAGCTTTCTAATATGATCGTAAAGTCTTGCAAATGCAGCTAAGATTCTTGGAAAAGTGACAAGACGATAATCAAACAGTGATGATGATGATGATGATGATGATGATGATGATGATGACGATGATAGTGACAAAGGCAATGTTTGTAACAAGAAAACAAGAGAGAGCCTTGCTTCATCAGTGTTTAAAAAAAATTTGAAAAAGCGGTACTAGTTCAAACACTTCGGAAGTTTGTGTTCTGTTTGTTAAAACTGGCATCTGAAACAAACAAAAAAAAAGTTGAAGGCTTTATTCTATATTTTACCTACTCTGTAAGTGAGAGAGACAAGAAGCAAAACCTTTTTTTCTTGAGAAAAAAAATAAACACTGGAAGAATTTGTTAGTGTTAATTATGTGAAAGAAAAAAAAAAAAAAAAACAGGAAAATCCCGTTAAGTGGAGTTGCTGTACATACGTTTTTATCCCATGCCTCACTTGATTTTTCTGTATTGCTATGCAATAGGCATCCTTCCCATTCTTACTCTTAGAGTTAACAGTGAGTTATTTATTGTGTGTTACTATATAATGAACATTTCATTGCCCTTGGAAAATAAAACAGGTGTATAAAGTGGAGACCAAATACTTTGCCAGAAACTCATGGATGGCTTAAGGAACTTGAACTCAAACGAGCCAGCAAAAAAAAGAGGTCATATTAACGGGATGAAAAATGCAAGTGACATATTATATGACCGAGCAAGTCTGCATGAAGAAAAGACCCTGCAAACACATGCTCTCTACCAACTGCCGGAGGAAGCTTCTTGTAAGGTTCAGAACTGAAAAGCCTGTTAATAAAGGAAACTTCCGGTCAGAATAAGTCTGTAAGATTTTTTTTTTTCCTTTTTAATTGTAAATGGTTCTTTGTCAGTTTAGTCAACCAGTGAAATGTTGAAATGTTTTGATATGTACTGGTCAAACTTCAGACCTTAAAGTATTGCTGTATAGCTATGCTCTAGATTTTTCCTTCATTTCGGTGTATGTAACCATACCTATATTACTACAATAGATGGGTATAGAAGCCAGTATAATTGGAAACACATCTGCAGATCTCTTTTGCGAACGATGAAATCAAAACATTAACTACTTTCTGTGTAATGTATAAATTTTTACCATATTTTTAATGTTCTGTAATAATGTCAACTCTGATTTAGATTGGACTTAAATTTGGGCGCTTTTTAATGATCGTTCGGAATTGTGTGTTTCCTTTAGCTGGCCAGTACTTTTGAGTAAAGCCCCTGTATTTCGACTTGCACTACAAATACATGTTTGACAGTATTTGTTCCACCTGTGCTTTTGCATTGTCCATTATTATGACATAAGCTACCTGAGTCCACTTGTCCTTTTTTTTTTCTTTTATAAAAAGACGTAGTTTTCCTTCATTTTCTAAGCATCATTACTAATCAGTTCAGACATTAACAATCTTCTATTTTAGGGAAATTGGGGATTATAGATACATAGATAATTGAGGTGAAATGTTTTAGTTTTAGCAAGGGCTTAAGGATCTGACTGGAACTCAGAATCTTGGTGACTGGGTTAAGAAAGGTTTCTCTAACTTGGTTTAATCAGTATTTTCACAGAATTCTACTGTTATAAAAGAGCAGACAGTTCTTAGGAAACAATTTTTTCTTTAATCGAGTTTTTAGTGTTCAGGGAGAAATGGAAAGATTTACATTTTAGTTGATTTTGTTTTTTTTTAAGGAAGAAAAAAAGCCCAGGTCAGCATAAGTCATTTAGTTTATTTCACTGAAGTGAAGGTTTTTATAGATGTTCTTTGAAGGTTGAAAAGGCACTAGGCAAATTCTCCCATGATCAAAAAATCCTTTTCTTTCCTCTGAATGAGAGTTATCAAATCAGAGGTTAGAATTTACCTTGCTGAAATACATGATTTGCCACATTTTTGCAGAGGAGGTAACCTTATGTCAGGGGTTGTAGGATATGTCAGTTTGTCAGTTGTCTCTTATTTAGCTTTAGGATAACAATTAATAGTAAGTCAATGGAATATTTGCAGTTTTACCTAAAGAGCAGCACAGTGAAGTGTGAATCCAGCGTGAAGTTGTCTGTTTGATGTAGTGTACTCCTTTTTTGGAATTTCCTGAGCATTATTAAAATGACAAATTGGATTTGTTTGAAAACTGGAAAAGCAAGAGATAGGATGCCACAATACCAAACAACCCTTGGGTTGGATGTAACCCAATCCCAGATTGGAGTGTGTTGATTTTTTTTTTCTCTTCCACTTTTCTATCCATTCTATGTAAATCACTTATTTCTGCAGGTATTTTCCTCTCAGATAGAATGACATTTTGTTTTGTATTATTTTGTCTTTCCTCATGAATGCACTGATAATATTTTAAATGCTCTATTTTAAGATCTCTTGAATTTTTTTTTTTTTTTTTTAGTTTGGGGGTTTTATAAGGCCTTTATTTCCCATAAGTAAATATCGCTATGAGAGGGGAGGGAGTGGGGAAAATGTTAGTATGTGGGTGGGGTTGGTTGTTGATAAACAGCAATACGATTTTATGGTTGGCATGATTTTTTTTTTTAAATGGAACATAAGAATAGCTGTTTTGTATTTTGATGACTGATTACGCTGTATTTTAACACAATGTATGTCTGTTTTTGTGGTGCTCTAGTGGTAAATAAATTATTTCAATTATATGTTGATGTGTTTTTCCTGTCCTGGTATCATTCTGGAGACCAGAGAACACTTCTGATTCAGGGAGCGTGATCTCAAGCTAGAAAAGTCATACCAGCTTTAAGATCGTGCTTTTTTTTTTTTTTCCTCAGAGAGATTCAGTCCAGAGATGTCATGCTTTAGAGTTCCAGAGCCAGGATGTATCTATCAAGGCCTGAAGACAGCGCTGTGCAGTCTTTTTATTCCCTTGTTTATTGCTATTTGGTAATTGTTGGAGATTTAGTTTCCATCCAGCTTGACTGTCTACCAGAAAAAAAAAAATGCAGAGAGTTGTTTGGACCATGCTTTGGCTTTCTAATCCTATGTTCTGCCAACCCCAGGGCCAAAAGAACTGGTCTAGACAGTATCCCCTGTAGCCCCATAACTTGGATAGTTGCTGAGCCAGCCAGATATAACAAGAGCCACGTGCTCTTTGGGGGTCGGTCTTTGAGAGCAGCTACTCCTTTATTTCTCCCCTACCGCTGCACCAAAAAACCCCTATTCCCGCAAACTTCCTTGGCTGTTCACCCTGCAAGACCAGACTTTGCAAGTGAGTTGCCAGTCTCTCAATAAATCAAAGTAATAAAAAAAGTCGTTGTGGCTCCATCTGGCTGTCCTGCTTTAAATTTGTGCCTGTTTTCTAAACATCACCTAGAAACAAACCGTCCATTCAAATGTCTAGGTAGAACAGAAAATGGTTCCCTTTTCTACACTCTGTGTTTCATCTTTTATACTCATCTGTTATAGACAGAGGAAGTGTTTCACTTGAAAACAATTCGTTTGTGCTTCTCTGCAGAGGGCCAGTACCAGGCCTATCACCCCAGCCCCCATCACCTTTATTTGAAGTGTGAGAATAAGAGGGTATCATAGGGTCATGAAAAGAGTCACGTAAGAGCTGTATCAACTTGGTAAATTTGTCAGCCACTCTGAGCCTCCGTTTCCTTATCTTTAAAATGAAGATGAGATTTACCTGCTTTATGGGGCTTTGTGTGTTTGTTTTTGTGCCCTTGCTATTGTTAAGTAAGTGGACATGGGAAAAGTACTTTGGTGTTTGGCCTGTAGATGATGGTCAGTAAATCGTAGTCTTAACAGCTTTTTAATGTCTATTCAGACTGTAACCAGGGGCCACACTCCTTCCTCTTGACACTGAATGTGTAACCTCCAGACCCTAATCTCATCAATGAATCAGGCCATCAGTTATTCCTGAGAATATTGTCACTCAATTTCTTAACTTTTGGGTTACATGACTGACCAGAAACTGTTTAAAATCATGCGGAAATGTTCAGGTGAAGCTTTGCTTCCCGTCCACCGACTGAAGTTCAGCGTAACAGAGACGAGGCGGTTAGTTGACGGTCCCATTTTCTAAGATGATGATACTGTGAGCCCCAGTTTGTTGAGCACCCACCAGCTACTGTTCTCTGTTATCCTACATAACCTCACATGTCACCCTATGATGTAGGCTTTTTTGATAGAACTCCATTTTACAGGGAAATGAGCAGACTCATTAATGGTTAAATTACATGTCCAAGATCACCCAGGTTATAAGAGGAAGGTCGAGAACTTCATTGTTCAGTACACTAGCTACTTGCCACGTGTGGCTTTCAAGCAACTGAAATATGGCGAATCTGAATTGAGACATTCCAAGGTGTAATATCCAAACCATATTTTGAAGACTTAGTACAAAAGAGAAAGAATATCTAATGTCTCATTACTTTTTTATATTGATTACATGTCTAAATAATACTATTTTGAATATATGGGATTAAATAAAGTATATTATTGAAATTATTTCACCTGTTTCTTTTTTACTTTTTTAATATAATTACTAGAAATTTTAAAAGTACATATGGCGCTCGTATTCCCACCCTATTCTATTTCTCTAGAATTGTTTTTTCAGTTCTTTCTTAGAATTTCCCCATCTCTCTGCTTACATTGCCCATCTTTTCTTGTGTGCTGTTTACTTTGTCTATTAGAACCCTTAGCATATTAATCACAGTTGTTTTCAATTCCAGGTCTGGTAATTCCAACATCCCTGCCATGTGTGGTTCTGATGCTTGCTCTGTCCTTTCAAATTGTTCTTTTTGCCTTTTGGTATGCCTTGTAATTTTTTCTTATAGCTGGACGTGATGTACTGGGTAGAAGGAACTACTACAAATAGGCCTTAGAAATATGGTGGTGAAGTGGGAGGGGAAGCAGTCTATAGGTCTATGATAAGGTCTCAGTCTTCCAGTGAACCTGGGCCTCTGGACTGTGACATTCACAAGAGGTGCTCAGATTTCTTCTCCCCCCTTAGCTGGGGCAGGATGGCTAGTATGTTGTAGAGTTGGATATTTCCCTTCCTCAAGGTCAGCAGTTTGTTAGTCTCTGATAATACTCCAGCAGGTTAGCCTCCGGTTAACTGGTTTCCCCAGAGGGCTTGATAAGAACAGAGTGCTCTGGTGTATTGCAAAATGATTCCTTTGCCCCATTCCCTGCAGGAAGTCCTAGATTTTTCTCTGGTATTTACTGTGGGAATCTGGTGGATCTCTTGGAGGTGAATCTCACAATATTGTGTATGTATGTAGGGGTTGGGAGGAGGCTATGGGTGGGTCCCCCAGAGCTTTTAACTCTCAGAGGTGTTCACACTGAGCCTCCAGCAATTCATAAATTACCATTCATGTGTTCCTATCCCAGCACTAGTTCCTGCAGCGGTTTCTTTTTTCTTTTCTTTTTTTTTTGTCTATCAATGATGTGATGGATAAAGCATAGTCCATTCATACAATGAAATGTCGTTTGGTAATTAAAAGAAAATGAATTAGATTTAAATATATCAACATATATACATCTCAGAAATATGATGTTGAGGGCTTCCCTGGTGGCACAGTGGTTGAGAGTCCGCCTGCTGATGCCCCGGTCCAGGAAGATCCCACATGCCGCGGAGCGGCTGGGCCCGTGAGCCATGGCCTCTGAGCCTGCGCGTCCGGAGCCTGTGCTCTGCAACGGGAGAGGCCACAACAGTGAGAGGCCCGCGTACCGCAAAAAAATATATATATATATGATCATGAGTGAAAAAAGCAAGTTACAAAAATACATGTGCAGATGACCATCTTGAAGTTGGATTTTATCTTTATATCTGTATTGCTAATATTTTTACTATGTATG